GCCAGGCTGTCGCGGTCCCAAAATAGCAGGTGAGCAGGCAAAGAGAAGCAAAGAGAGGCTTCTCCTGACAGACTGACAAGTGACCGGTCAACCGTCCTTCTAACTCTTCTACTAGCCCAATCGAGACCCGATCACGATGACAGAAAGCCACGGGCGACGCTGACTCGCCATGATTCAACTAACATGCTGATCGCCTAGGTTCGCTGATTACTGCCAGCACATTGGTGCACTGTGCCGCTCGTAGCCTAGTCCAGCATGGCAGCCTTCACTCTGACAAATTGGCTGCAGATGCTCGCGCCCGGAGGTTTCTTCGACTGACAGGCAGGAATAGGATCGCGTCTTACTGTACGGCCGTACTCGTTCGACTCCCCCATCGATCAACGCCGCCTTAGCTTCGGGACGGCCCCTCTTGTCGTTGCTTTAACTTTTAAACATTCAGGGTCTTGAGCCCTAGCGGCAACGATCTCCACCTTGCCACAGGCCAAGCCCTCCGATAGTGATAATTAGATCGAGAATGGCTCTATCTTATGATTCTTATCTACGGAGTACTCTGCGATGCACGCATTGGGCAAATAGCAATGGATCTTACATACTTCTACCAGGGGCGGATGCATGTACAGGTATGGGGCAGATTCCAGCACCAGCACCGCCAAAACTCATCCACCTTATCCCTGCACCCTAGCGCCCACGACTTTTCCGACCGGGAACATGGCCGAATCTCTCAACCGGGACTTGAGGTGGCTTGCTTCGTGGTGGTTACCAGCTAGTCATGTTTTTCTCATGGAAAGAATCGCAGGTCTTTCTATCTGCCACGCTTGCCGCGGGTGAGATCCATATCCCTGGAGGCGGGCGACGAGTGCTGCCAAGAGCACCCGGGGTGCGCATCACACGAGGCGACGCCCGGCAAACTGGTCTGCGCCACTAGGGCATACGGGGGTGAACGCCACGTTCCCCGGGCAAAGAGTGAATGGTGAACGAGGAATCGGACAATCTGCAGGGAGTGGAGACACTGACCACTCACAGAACGGTCAGATCATGACTAAGGACATCAAGAACATGCTGGACTGGCTCAATCGCAGTTGGCGACATCATCTGTGGAACCGAAAACACTCATCGCAAGAGTGCCTGAAACCCTGTGCTTCCATCGACCCTGGTCTGGCGTAGGCACCGGACTGATGATCATTATGAAGCCACACCAATGACACCACAGAGCATCTTTGGTTCGCTTAGGCTTGCCCTGAGTTGCAAAATATTTTTTTTTGCGATGCGGCTGAGAAGTTGGCGGAAAACGTGTTTACAGTATTCGGTCCATGTCGACCCTCCACTACCCTCATTATCCTCATTACTCGCAAGACCGACATTCAAGATCGGACTCGCGTTGGATTGGGCCCGTGGTGGTTTTA